CCTCCTCCTTCTCGACCGCCCGGCCCCCTCCAGCACCCTTGGCGGGGACAGAGGAGGGGGCTCCAGGGGCCCTGCCGCAGCAGAGGTCCTCCTCCTTCTCGACCCCCTCGGTGCAGCCCACCCGTGCGTTTTCGGGCCCTGCTGACGCCTGCGGTCCCAGGGTCGGAGAGGATGGCAGCCAGCTGTGGTACCAGGGCGTCCCGCTGTCCTTCCCCCCCAGCTCTGCACCCACTGCCCCGAGTGTGGACTACCAGCATGCCGCCGCCTACCCCAGCCCAGCCGGCCACTTCGTGGCCCGCGGTCAAAATCACCGTCCCAATGGCAGCAGCGGCATGAGCCCTGAGCTGGGCTCCTCACGCCTGATCTCACGCGGGCCGACGGCTCCAGATGCTCCACAGCCGCCTTTCCCGGAGGGAGTGAGTGGCCTGCGGTCAGACGCCGGGCACCTGGAGGGCTCCAGCACGGCGAAGGTGAAGCTGCCCTGCCAAACCCTCCTTCCGCAGCCGGAGCAAGGGCCATCAGCGGCTGAGCTGAAGCTGGAGGCACTGACCCAGCGCCTGGAGCAGGAGATGGATGCTCGGCCAAAGGCCGATTACTTTGGTAAGGAGGCAGTCTACCAGCCGGTGTGAAAGGGGTTCGTTGCAAAGCGTCACCGCAGGGTTCACACCTGCAGCGTGTGTGTCTCTGTGCGCCTGCTTGGTTATGCTTTTCCACAGTTGCTCAGAGGTTTTTTTGTTACTTAACTTTTATTTCTCACAGGGACTGGAGGCTCTTCCTCCCGGGACACTTTTTACTTTAATCCTACGTCTTAAATTTTAAAGCAAAGGCTGTTTAGCAGCTTTGGGGAGGAAAGCACTGAGAAGAAGCTGGAGCAGCATCTTTTGAAGCGCCCTTCATTGCCAGCAGGGAGGCACTTAACTTTTCTTGACAGTACTCCTCGTTCTCTGTGTCTTAAAAGTACGCTGCCCGACCATGTGTGAGCAGGAAGGCAGCCCTCCAGCCTGCGGAGGAGTCGCGCCTGCGTACCCTACGGGCATGGAGAAGGGCACAGAGCTTGGGGGAGGCTAGGTGGTACCCCCCCATGGAGGTGACCATGGCCAGGCGTGCTTGTGGGATCTCTTGAAGAGGAAACTTGCCAGGATTTCCCCCTGCGCCCAGGTGCTCGTCTCCATCAGCTCTGAAAGGATGGGTGCATCCTGAAGGCGACAGACGAACAGGCAGTAGGCACATTCCTCCCTAAATCTCGAGTCTGCCAGTAGTCCAGACTGCCACCAGAGGTTATCGCTGGTGCTTGGCAGTGGAAAGGGACTGCTTATAGGTGAGGATCTCCCAATGAGAATATTAAATGTCCTGCTGGATTAAACGGATTTACTGCCCTGGGATGGCAGAAGGTCAGGGGCAAATCAAGCATTTCCTTTCCCTGTCGCACTGCTTTGCAATTTAATAGCAGATGAGATAGTTCAGCTTTTGGGAGAAGGAAACCTGAAGTTGCTGGGAAGGCTGAGAACTCCACGGTTAATTTAAGGAACGATGGGAGCAGGTCTAGCGTATGGATTTTTCCTCATGATTTTAGGCTCACGGTCACAGAAGTAGAAGCAGGGACAGACAAAACTCTTCAGCCTGGTGCAGAGGAAGGGTTTGCGTCTGAGGCTGCACCGGCGCTGTTGCACGGGGGCCTGCCCGGTGGGGTCAGTGGGTGGCTCAGCGGTGGTCTGCGCGCACAGGAGCAGCCGTCAGCTTCACGCCAAGCTTCAGGGACATAGCTGGAGGGACCACCAAGTGCTCAGTTGCAAACTGCATAACAAAATGTGTTTCTTGGCATCAGGCAGCGGCACTTGCACGCAGAGGGCTGTGCTGGGATCCTTCATCTCAGTGTCTGAGACGGGATTCAGCCTTGTGGCAGGGCGGACGTGGTTTTTTCCTGTCGCAGAAAAGTGATGTGCCGAGTTGCTGTACTGGGAGCGTTTTGGCCTGGAAACACATTTTGGTGCTTTCTGTCCCGTGCGGGCAGTGCACGGTTTGAATGAGGTCAGGGAGCCTCGCCTGGGGGGGGCTGAACACTGTGACAAGGAGCTGACAAGGAAGGTGGGGTTGGGGCAACAGCTTCGTGGGAGGCGGTGCTCAAAAATGGGAATATTTTGCTGGAGGTGGCGTTCAGCTCTGCTGGAGAGGTGTCAGGGGTCTCTTCAACAGACCCTGCTGCCTATGTCTTCTCCTCGTGGTGCGAGTAAACCAGCCGGATCATACCTTGTCCAAAAAGCGGATGGGGATGGGGTGAGAAAGCAGAGGGACCTAGTTGGTGGTTAGATTATTTTTACATTTTTGTTCACAAAATAGGGGGTAGCGCCAGGGGGAGGCTTTTGTCCTGCGGGAAATTTATAGCAAAGCAGGAGTGATTCTGGCAGCAGGCAGAGTCCTGCTGGTCAGGCAGCTGAGTTACCGGTGAGCCCTGGTGAGGGAGGAGAGGCGGAGGCTGCCCAATCCCCAGTGAGGTCTTTTGACATCCTCCTGGCAGGAGGTTTTACCCCAGGGTGTAGTGTCTGAGAAATTGGGGAAGGAGGAGAGTGGTGGAGGAGAGGGAGAGGGAAAAATGAAAGGATGCAGTCACGGCGGAGGAAGAAGTAATGTTTTGTGGAGCCTCAGCTCTGTGGAGGAAGGCTCAGCAAATCTGCCCTGTGAAGGACTAAGGAGCAGGAAGGGGCAAGTACCGAGGTATTTTAATTCTGGGCCTCCTCCCCCTTTCTTTCTCACTTTTATTTTCATTTTTTCACAGTTACCTTACTTCCTTTAGAGGAATAAAGGACCCAGCTGGTTCTTCTGAATCTATCTTTGCTATTCCCTACCCTCAAGCTAGCAAACTTTAGGATGGAAAGTAAATACCTTTATTCAATAGTGATAAAAAGGATCAGCAGTTTGTTTTGTTGCAGACTTTTCCCCCAGTGACGGGAAGTCTAATGCAGCCGCTTTGCAGTACATCGGAGCCAGGAAATGAAACCAGGACTGAAGTGCAGATGACCAAAGTGTTTTATCTAAAATGCTTTCAGCTCTCCGAATTTTGGGTGCTGCTTTTGTCACACGGAGATCTTTTTTAAGATGGGTCTGTCTGTCTTGGTAACATACAGTCCTTCAGTCTGTCTCTGTCTGGACCAGATATTTATCACGAACGATTAATTCTGAGCACAGTAAAGGAGCTGCTTTTTCCTTCAGTATGTGAAAACAAGCATTTGTAAATGAAAGCCTAAGAAAGCATAAGCTAGGGACTAGGCATAACATGGTAGGATGCTCTGCTGAGGAGTAGCAGACAGTCTGGTTACCTGTTACTCCCGCTTGCTGTACAAAATCCATTTGTCCCCTCAGAGTATGTATGATAAGTGAAAGGAAAGAAGCAAAGAAAGGCAAGAATTTTCTTTTTTTAACATAGTGGCCTATGTGTGAGCAGTGTGGGCTGCACGAGTCTGTGGAGGAATTTGGGTTCTCCAAGGGTGCTTTTGAAGTGCCAACTTGATTTACGTGGGCTTTCAAGAAGGACATAGGGAGTCTCAGGTATCACTGAGGTCTTATGCCTGGGGAGGGAAATTCCTGAAATCGTTCCCTGGACATGCTGGTTCCCCTGCAGCAGGGAAGGGGCCCCAGGTCCCAGGAGGTGCTGCTGGAAGCTGCTTGAGGTTGTATTCAGGTTTTTGGCATACTGTTTCCAGGAAACATCCAGGAGTGAGGTGCCTGAATCCCACTGACTTTCCATAGTGGTCCTTTGAGTGCACCGGCCTTCATCTCCACCTGGTGAACAGGAAGATTAATTAAATAGGAGTGACTGGGGGAGTTGCAACTCCTCCACAAGCACCACCCAGCACAATGCAGATGCTCTGTCTGGGTTAGGTGAGGTGGCACCGTTCTGAGGACTGGCATGGGATGCATTTTCAGGTGAGAGCTGGGCAGGTGCAAAACCAAACGAAGCGTCTGCCTGCACTGCCTGGAAGTGACTTGGTAAGGGAGAGGCCTGGCTGAGGGGCGTTGGGGTCTGCCAGGTGGTTTTGCCATTCATTTTAGCAGAACTTGTGGTACCATGCAGTTCCTTGGTCTGAGGGCACAGACGAATGCTTTTAGAGGTGTAACATGTCGCCTCACATTTTTACCAGTGCTCGTTTTGTGTAGCCAGATGGAAATCTCCATCTGATGGAGACTGTCTATACCCTTACCAGGAGCTTTTTTTAAAACTGTTTTTATAAATGGTTTTCTTGTTATAAATATGTGCTGGATTTTGAGTTTTCGCTTCCTTATTATTTAGAGCAGAGCTGGTAAGCTGCAGGTATTTTAGGAAGGCCCCAGGCATCTTGTTTTGCAGCGAAATACTGGGATGTTTCCCAGCTGTTGGGCAGAGAAGATCTTGTAGCGAAGTCTGCAGATTTCTTTTCCCCTTGGCAGAAGCAGAGCGGTAGTCGAGTCGCTGAAACCCCATGGAGGCCTGGAACCCCAGCACCTTTGAATGGGTGTGATCAGCTCACTAAGGCTCTTTTCGAAGCCTTGTGCATAGTGAAGCTAGTGTTTTACCACTGCCGAAACCACAATTCATTTAACTTCAAGGCTGTAAACACCTGCGGACTTTACCAAACCCTGATGATGATGGTGCACCAGGGTGCTTCGGTGGCAACGAGGGTAATTTCAGGGCTGCCGAGTGGAGAATTTCAGGTTAAAATGAAAGTTCTTCTGAGGTTTGTTTTGTATGTGGGTGATGATAATGGCATTGTTTCCACTGGGAATGAGTGGAGGCGTCCCTCGCTGCCTGCTCCTGGGAGAACACCACGGCTGGAAGGAGATGCCTGCCTGCAGCAGAGAGGAGAGGGAGGCAGGGTGAGGTGGGTCCTGGTGGAACAAGGAAAGCTGGAAGGATCATGACACGTGGACCAGTGGGTGTGTGCAGTTTGCAAAGATTATCTCGCTGCAGGCAACCAACCAAGTAAGTATTTGCCTGGGATATGGCTCTTCCAGATTACAGCAGTATGCGCTTCACCTCCCTTCCTCTTGGGAGCTCAGCTGGATATGCAAGCTAAGGAAAAATCTGCACCAAAAGGAAAGAAGAAAGAAGGAGTTGAAGCAGAGGATCAATAGGTCTTTCAGCCAGGATACTGTGGCAGCAGGGACTGAAAGGAATAGGGAGCCTCATTCATTTGGCACTGGAGTTAACGTAATCTCTGACATCGCTCTAAGGTACTTAAAATGTCACTGACGTGAGTTTGATGGCATTTTGTACTTCGCTGGCAGTGTGTACACAACTGTCTACAGCAAAGTCAGGGGTCAAGAACATGGCATGCAAAAACAGTACAGAAAAATTACATTTACCAACTCTGTGGTTCTTTGGGGAGGGAGGACTTGCACATCTTTGCTACCACTGAGTGACAATGTGGGGCTGATACGAGTGATGACACCCAGTGGTGAATGGGACCAGACTGCCAGGATCTCCAGGCACTCGATCTCACACGGGCTTCCAGATGTCCTTGAAATCAACTCTGCAGCAAGCACGATTGCACAGTAGTGGCTAACAGCATAGCGAGGCATGCAGTATGTCTAATTTAGAGTTTGATGTAGGAATGACTTGGTTAAGG